TCAGCCATTATCGAAGCTTCGCGAACGAAGCTCTTCCCTTTGATATGCTGAAACCCGAGAGACAGAGATCTAGATTTATCTTTAAAGCTCGTATTAATATTCTACAGTGCCATCAAGGTTTCTCGTAACACCGCTGCGTTTATTCCACCATGTATGCACAAGGTTCAGTAAGAACTGAGCTACCTCAGAGGGGTTTTGTCACGGCTGTGGGATGGCGAGATATTCGCATGCCTGGGGGTGTTAACGCTGTTTTCTTGGAGAAAAGGATCTCGGAAAATGTGCGAAGCATTCGCTCTTTTTTACAGGAGAAAAGGTGGTCTTCCGAAGAGAGGATGTGAATGATGATTTGTGTGGAACACGGATTGTTTACCTTGCTGGGGGATGATTCAAGGGGTCGGGCGAGAGAGGAAGAGGGATTAGAGGGGATTTCTCGTGGGAAGGACGTAAGTATCGCGTTATAGCGATGCTTGCAGGGAAAATGTGCAAACGTCGAGTCGACAAACAGACTTTTCCTTTTCCAAAAACGATGCAACTCTGGTTGTTCCTTCGCGTTGCAAATATCGAATGGAGGCAACTGCTTAACCCTACAACCACAAATTTAACATATTTTGGTTCTCACAAAGCATAGCTTCAATTTTACAACAAATTAATTCGCTGCTGCTCTTCTAATGGCGGAGAAATATTCCGTAATACTACTTCAGACTCTTAATTCTCGAAATTACTGAAGATCTACCGCAACTTCCGCTAAAATTGACATTAATTTTTATTCCAACTAAATTTCAATTATACAGGGTGTCCTAAAAAATGTATACACGCTTTGCGTGATTATAAATAAGTTATATTTATACTATAATAAATTAATATAAATTAGAAAGAGTAAGGTATTAAAGTACGTATACATTTTTTGGGACACCCTGTATATACAAAGGATGTCCCAAAATTCACGCAAGATTTTAATTTCGCGCCATTTGTCCGGTAAAATGTTGCCAACGAAAAAAGACAGACAGCGTAACAGCTGGCAGTTCAGGGTTATTAAAAATGTAGCTCTTCATGAAAGAACAACGTACCATCATTGTTGAGTAATAATTACAATTTTTAATTACAATCCTGTGTTTTCTATCAAAGTTTGCTTCTGAATTTTGGAACACCCTTTACTTTTTCATTTTTGTTATATCCCTATATTATATGTACACACTATACTGCTACAGATACTGTACTATTACTATACTACACTATAGTGTACTACAGATACTGCACTATTACTATACTACACTATAGTATGCTAAAGATACTAACGCTATACTACACTATAGTATGCTAAAAATACTAACGCTATACTACACTATAGTATACTACAGATACTACACTATACTATTACACTACTACAGATCAGTAGTACAAGCGTTAATAATATCAAACCTAGACATTTCAATTCTTTCTCCCATACCATAAACATAAATTTCTCCGGGAAAATAAGTATGTCATCGATGGAATATTTCCAAAAGACATCTTAATAATTTCTCCATTCGATAAAAATGCAATTTGAAGAGCGAATTAAGCGATTTCTCGATACAGGGACACCGAGTGTAACGAATGCCAGCGAGTTGCAAAGATAAATTTCCTCCCGATCACGTTTAGCATTTAAAAACTTCAGGACGACCGTTGCCGCCTGGAGGCTAACTTCCGGCGCAGGTCGTAGCTCGCGCGTTTGCGCAAAGTGTTTCGATTAAAAAGCGTTTTGCAAAAAGATTTACGGCCCCGGGATGTTTTTGCATTCCGCAACGAGACTCCTACGTTTCGTAACGGCGGTAAAGTTGAAATATATGCGACGCGCGCCCGGGGCGCATACAAATCCGCCATTTGTTTCCGGTCCGCTCCTTCTTATTGCGGAAGTTGCGCGCACAGTCGCGACCGTGAACCCCCGAGTATCGAGTTTACGAAACGACCGATCATCGGATCAACGACGGAAGTCGTAAATTTCGTGCTTTTTCGCCGAAAAAAGCAGGACAAAGGGAAAGCTCGCGATAAAGAAAGTCGCGCGAAGTAATTAAAAATGGCCGCGCCAATTTGCAGCCGAAGTCCTCTCAAAATGGCTGTGCATTTCGTTCCAACTTCGCTGTAATTCCCGTAGAATCAGAGAATTGAATAATAATTCTGTGAAAAAGTTGGAGAACATTCGCACGGGGAAATTAGGGAATAATTACTGCAAGAAAATGAAGGTGGAATTTGTGGAAAATAATTCCTACGAATTTTTATTTAGGTTATGTTGCGAATTTTAATTCTATTTCCTAGTACTAATTTTTTTCAGGGAAATGGGCAAATTGTGGTAATATATCGTACGAAGAATATTGAAATTAATGTTGAGAAATAAAGTCTACGCATTTTTCAATTTTTGTTTTGTGAATACTGTTAGGAAAAATTCTTACGTGTTATCAATGGAGATACCCGAGAAAGATTTCACTGCTCCAAAACTCAGTTCAGGACTAAAGTCCTTCTTAAGCTCCTTTGAGACATCCCCCTGCGAAACTACTCTAACTTCTACACCCTGTACATCCCTGCAATTTTTTGCAAAAAAATTTGCAATTTTCCGTGCGTATAATTATCTCGGCGAAATTAACCTATAAATGTTCCTTTTCGAAATATAAATCTCTAAATAGTTGCGCATTTGAAATATACGACAAATGGAGAAAGAAAATTAATTTCGACGAAACTGCGAACTCGATCGGTTTATTTAATTCTTCGCCATTTTCGCAGGAATAATTTCGTTTTATCGTAATATAAATTAACGCAACATAAAACACGCGGTTGAGTCTGCTCTTTGGAGTTTTTTATTTAGACCACTTGCATAATTACTGGCACAATTAACGAACCAAGCTTCGAAACGGCTCTCATCAACTCGCAAAAAAGGTCTCTTCGAATTCGCGACTTTCGTAACCGAATGTTCGCCATTTTTATTACCATCGTTGGTTTATCCAAAAAATTCGCGGCGGTACGAGAATCGGGATAAATTTTAACGCTGCTGCCGAGCAGAGCTCGGTTATATTCGCGAAGTTCCGCGTGGTCACATAAGCGAAACGATTTCGCGATAAATTGCACGGCACAGAGCGAGCTGGTCGAACGGAATCTATCTCTGTGGCCTGTTTATTTATGCGAATGACTCGAATTAAATTTTTCAGCCCGACGACGAGCTTCGAATCACGGGTGGTTGCGTCTCTGGACCACGAGGAAACTCCTTTCGAGTTTTATTCGCGTTGCGAACCCGGGGCCCGCTTTTTCTCCGCATTTTGCCTCGCGGTCCACCGGGATTATTTGCACGGAACACGGAATTAATCGCGGATTAATCCTTATTACGTTCGCGCAAATTGCAATGATACACGTAACATGGGATTATTGGGGCGGGAAACACGCTCTGTTCTCTGCCAAAGCCTTCCGGTCGCTTGGAAGGACGTTTTGTTGACTTGTCAATTTATTTTCACGCACTCTCGACGGCTTAGATTCGTATTATTTTGCGAATTCCGTGTGCTGTTATATGGATAATAAAATCCCTGTGGGAATATGCGTGCACGTTGATGATTTCTGTTATCCTTGGTTCCGAAAGCTGAGGGGCGTCAAGATTAGGTCAGGTGGTCTCTTATGGAGTGAAGCTTGGGGATGGATGAAGTCTGAGGCCATGATCGTCAGATCAGTGGATCATTAAAGTAATCGTGAAGTCAAGATCACTGTCAGTCTAGGTTCCAACCCCCGATGCTTGGTTAGTGCATCAGTGTTAGGTCTAAGCCAGTTCAACTGACCAGAAAAGGACTTTGATAATAATCACACGGAGAACAAGAATTTCTTGAATAAATAAGATATTAAGCAATATTATAATCCACACTGCGAGTATTTTTTGGTCAAACAACTGTAATGATGATTAATTTCAACGCTAGTGTCGTTGACAGTGAGCTGATACTGAATAATTAGTATGAAATTTTATGATTTTCGAGAAACGTAGAATTATATTGGACCTACTATCCTTAATTTGATTAATTGTCCTTTATTATTGGGGAACCTTATTCTGTGTATGTCACTGTCTTCTTTGAGTCGCCATATTTTATATAATCATTGCAATATTAAATTCAATAAATTCTTAAATTTTATCTGCACTCGTGAAACTTTTGGATAGAATGTGCTTCGTAATCTGTTTAATTAAGAATAGACGTCATTTGTTTCTTTCATGTACATTATAATGTATCTTTTCTTTATTATTTCTACTTTATTATCACTATTTTGCTGCTTATTATACGTTGTCATCTCCTTTGTAGGCTAAACGATTCCATAACTCGCTAACAAATAAATGATTAGCAAGTGTATCATCTGATAGACAGGGGTGAAATGAATTCCGAAATTACGAAGAACACAATCGAGAAATATGACAGCGAAGAAGTTCACTTAAACACCCCCTTTGTCTGTATTGTGGCATAATTCCCAGCATGCCATAAGAAGCTTAGTAATACAGCGAAAAGCGACATCATGGAAACCTTATCTCTCGTCGTTCCGCTAGAGTCCTTATCGAGAAAATACAGTTTTAATCCGTCCCCTATTCTCTCTCCCCATTTCCCGCTATCTCGCTCTCGACTCGGGTCCTCCCACGCTTAATTACGATCCTAATCGACTGCCAGTTCCCTCGCCAGCACGTTGTCCCATCTTCGTTTCATATTTTCCGCTTTTGCAGAAACCCTCGGAGCCGGCAGTCCTCGCCGACGGAAGATGACTCGCGCGAGGGATCATCCAGCTTCGACCACCCTTCTTCGACCGTTCTCAGCGTCGGCGTCGCCCAGCATCGAGGAGACCGGGAGCAATTACTTGGAAATGACTAGGAGGAACGATATCGAGGAGTAATCGTCGAAGATATCCTAGATTTCGTTAGTCTTGGCCAGAGCAGTCGTTGGAGGAGAGAGCGGGTCAGGTGGAATTCCGAGTAGTCGGGCTGACGAGACATGTCCACTGAGATGCACGGTTCCCTGTGAAAATGCTGGTGGACGACTGCGGCAGCGCGATGGGGTGGAGCGTGCGCGGGGGTTGGTCCACCCCTGGCTGTAGGAATTCCGCGATGAACTTCGGCGGCAGCGTGCCCTCCCTTCATCCCGCAGGCTCCGTGAGATCCCTGCGGTCCCAGCATTCTATGCAGGTAATGAAAAATCTACCTTCGAATCGAGACCGTCAGGGTGCTCTTCGGAACTCAGGGTCCCGAGTTCCATTAGGCTATCAGCGATCGTGGATGAAATCTCCTTGTTGTCTGATTTACGTTCTCGTTCCGTCGACGAACATCGATTGAAGTATTCTTGGCTGTAACGAGTTCCTCTGTCAATATTCCTTCTTGACACGACGTAATTATTTGGAGTTTAAAATATTATTTATTACACGATATATTTATTTAACATTAATTAAAATAACTCTACCTGTTAATTCACATACTTCACGTCTTATTTATTATTATAACAGAAAACCCTTGAATCGCTTTTCTTCTATAACCAAAAAATCGCTCAATGCAAGTTTAATCTTTTTAATAAAAGTTAACCCCTTGCACTCGAGGAGCGCCTCTCAGTCGCCATTTAATCAGGCTCTAAAGATGGATGTTAATTAATATATCAAATTTATAAGTACTCAACGATGCTTGGAATATCGAAGTAAAATAATTCTACGTCTTAATCCTTTGCACTCGAGAGGTGACTCTCGCAAAATATACTAGATGAACGATTTTTCCGAGAGATTAACCCCTTGCCATAATTAATAACAGAGTCAGCTATACGTCTAATGAAAATAATCGTGAACCCTTTGCGAGAGGCGACTCTTAATCGCCATTTAATCATATTCTCAAGATTCATGTTAATGAATATATCAAATTTAAAATTACCTAAGAACGTGTGTAATGTCGAAGAAAAATAATTCTACGTCTTAATTTGCATATGATTTCTCATTTACCATTTTAAAAATATCGTTGACTCTATGACAGAAAGTCTTCGAATTACTATTTTTCTACAACGAAAAAGTCGTCGAGTGCAAAGGGTTAATTTGCATACGATTTCTTATTTATCGTTTTAGAAATATCGTCGACTTTATGGTAGAAAGTCTTCGAATTATTATTTTCCTGTATCCTTTATTAAAAAGGGGGATTAATCTTGCAGTGGGCGATCTTTTGGTTATCGAAGAATAGCGATTCAAGGGTTTCCTGTTATAATAATAAATAAGACGTCAAGTACGTGGATTAACAGGTAGAATTATTTCAATTAAATTTAATGGATTAACCAATGTCAATCTTTAGAGAATTATTAAATGGCGACTGGGGGTCGCTTCTCGAAAGGGTTAAATGTTATTAGAACTGACAGAGGTGCTTAAATATACAGATATATTTTCTGAAAAGAGTTACGACGAATTTACCCCGACGCAAAGTTTAATAATAATTGCGCATCATGATATTAAAATCTCCCGGATAAATCATGGAATAAATTACAAATTTCCCGTAGCATGTGTCACGAAGTCCCGGGGTATCTGGAAATCTAGTCTCATTTGTAACGCGAATCCGTGCGAAAAGATCATAAAGGTCTCATTGTAATGGAATTCGGTGCATCAGGCTGATGTGGTACTGATTCGATTATCGATGCAGAAATCGATGTTCGTCCGGCGTTCGCACGCCCGCTCCGGAGGCGGCAGAGGGGATGAATCGTCGATCAGTTTGCGAGAATTGCCAGTAACGTTCATCCCCTAATCGGTATTCCGCTCGCGACACTTTCACCCCCGTCGATGGATATCCAGCGGCGTTTAATTTCCAGGCTACGTCGTCGATCGTCGCGATTTATCGGCCGTTCGCGTACGTCCTATCAGCATTGCCTTCTTCCACGCACTGCAGACGTTTCTTTCTGTCCAGGGTGTGCCGGAGACACCGCGAAGATGCATGCACTGCCACCCGGTACACGTGCCGAGCACCCCGAATAATTACGTGCACCATCCCATGCAGTATTACACGCCGAGCCACTGCCCTGAGCCCAGGAACGGCGTCTATACTCCTCATCGGGGGAATTCTTATCATGGCGGTGAGTTCCAACTTTCTGTCAATCCGTATTAATTAATAATTACCACTGTTCACACTCGCGGTGGTCATAGTTGCTCGATATGAGACGAAAAACGAGGAGAAGAACAGGGAATGTACGCTTTTAGATGTTTTGACAATAGCTGATAGTTGAGAGTGATACTGCGAAGCTTTAAACATTTGGCAGAAGGTAGACGATAGAGAGTGGTTAATTTCTATTAAAAATTCGAGCTCAAGACTATCAAGTTCTCCAACAGTCTAGTCGACGCGAGTTCAAAGACTTTGGGGTCTTCGCCACCAAGTGCCAGGACTTCGAAGATGCTATTACCGTCTCTAAACGCTGCCAAATCCTCGCTATCTAGTGTTACAACTTCCTCTTCAACTTCCATTTCCAGGGAAATTGTCTCTATCGAATTTTAAAGCTCGGTAACCGACTCTTAAAACCATTAGCATGTCTCCATCGTATCTCGTTAGTCTAGCAATTGTCATGACAGCATCTTGCGATTTCTCTGTCGCCTCTCTGTCACGTAGCACGTGAACACGCGGGGCACGGTTGAGAAATCTTCGGAAAACGTTCATTCGTTCCCCAGACGAGGCGGCTCTGTTTAGTATAACGCGTTTTGCGTTTCATTTGATTTCTCTGGGGCATCTTCCAGCAGGATTGCGCAAGTTTGCTCGTAAAGCAGCTGCGAGAACGACTTCATCCGCGTGGTAAACTCGCTCATAATCTCGGATGCCTCTGTTTTCGTTCTCGCGACGTTGCTTGCTAAGAGACCAAGCCTAATCCGTTTCCGTCAAGTTTCGCGGCGTCGTTCAATATTCAGCAGCAGACGGATGCAGAGAGATAGAGGCCGGGACGGAAAATTTCAGCGCGTCGAATAACGAGCCATTGTGCGAGCGATGAGAACGGCTGTTAATAAATCACGAGTCGCGAGATACTCGTCTGATTGTATGCTGTTAAAGTAGTCGCGTAATTATAATTCTCTTCCTTCGGCGAGTGCGGACCTAGAGAATATAGACAAAGCGGTATTCCCAACGGACCAGTTGCACCACTTGGTCCTACGACCCAGAGCTTCGGAGGATCTAGGTCCCGCGAGCCCCATGCTCTTCATAGGTGATCCTATATGCTCAGGCTCCTACGAGCCCACGTTTCTTCGACACATTTCCTGCGATTCCTCTGTTATCTGGGTGCTGCTGGACCAGCTTCTCTCTGTCGTCTACTGCATCGTGATAGGGGATATCACGGTTATTCGCCTTGGGATTTTGCCTAGTTATATCTTCCTGAATACAAGCACGCTTCATCGTGAAAGTGGATACGTTCGAAAAATTCGAGAAGTTATTTTATTTGCATAGAAGATATAAATTGGCAATGGAAGATGATGATTTAGGATATATTATATCTACGAAGAGGTAGAGTGAAATTAAAAATAATCTATTATTACGACTAACTAAATGTTATTCTAATTCTATTAATAATTATTCTAATTCCATTAACTATTACTCTAATTCCACTGACGTTTGCACGACTGCTCTTCTCTATGACAGCACTTGCACTTGCTTCGTTGTTCAGTCACCTTTTATTCGCTCTTGCACATTACACACTCGTACAGCGTATCCCAAAGATCCTATGTGTATTCTAAGAAGTCATTCCTCTTTATTAGCTGATAATCATTCATTCAAAATATTCTCGCTACTATATTTCTTTCTCTTATCTATCTTCTCAACTATACCTATACTCCTGTGGATGTATACTGTCCTCCACTCCTGAAATTGATGATTTAAATGTATACCGTGGATGTATACTGTCCTCCTCCACTGTTAAAATTGACGATTTGGTTGTACACTGTGAGTGTATACTATTCTCCTCCATTGTTGAAATTGCTACTAGGGGTCTCACCAGTAAGGTCCCCTAGTAGACCCTGCCTCAGACAGAGATACTATTGGAATTTTTAGAAATTTTATATATTGGACTTGTGAAAAATCCTCGAACCTCCTTGAACTTGGAATCCATACAGTGAAATATATCCAGGGTGAAAATGATGTCGTCACACTCCTAATTTATCTAAAGGGCTGAGTGAACATCACGAATGTAGACCTGAGATCTCGAGACCAGTTCAGCTTAGACCAATACACACTCAATAATTTTCGAATTTAATTTTTACTTCGTTATTTCGTTGTCCAAAGTCGGTTACGTTGAGAAACTTTGTTGGAGTTATAACGAACAGGGTATCGGCGTGAAGAGGCAAGTTTCCGGCTATTTATCCGGATGCTTCTTTCCTGTCGTCAAAGCGTAAGGGACTATCTGCTAACATCCGCTCCATAAACTGTAACAGCGGCCTCGTTACCCGGTGTTGCAGCAATTCGAGCGAAATTAAGTTTAGATAAATCGGATAGCAAGAGAGATATATCGGCCTGCACTGGATTTCGCTGCTCTACAACGCGCGATACGAGGGTAGCATTTGTTCTATCCGCGTTGTAATCTTCCACGAATCGGTGGAACGCTGCTCGTGAGGTCCGATGCTTGTCCCGTGATGTGTTTTCTTCCATTATAGTCTCATGATCCCCTTTCGAATAACTATCGGAATCGGATCAACCGCGCATCTGCCCCTCCGCGATTCCTGCGACCGCCATTGTCCCGTTTCCCTCGAGCTTGCGAGCCAAAAATTTAGATTCGAAAATTGCAATCTTTGTATCTGTGATATTGGAAATGATGTTCTCGAAAATTGGTATAAAAATATCGTCTATATAATGAAAATTGGAATATTTTAATAATTATATCTTTAACGTTATTTTATTTCCTTTATATTTCATTTGTGCCACTCCAATATTTCTGCGACCACCATTGTCCCGTTTCCCTCGAGCTTGCGAGCCAAAAATTTAGATTCGAAAATTGCAATCTTTGTATCTGTGATATTGGAAATGATGTTCTCGAAAATTGGTATAAAAATATCGTCTATATAATGAAAATTGGAATATTTTAATAATTATATCTTTAACGTTATTTTATTTCCTTTATATTTCATTTGTACCACTTCACTATTTCTGCGACCACCATTGTCCTGTTTCCCTCGAGCTTGCGAGCCAAAAATTTAGATTCGAAAATTGCAATCTTTGTATCTGTGATATTGGAAATGATGTTCTCGAAAATTGGTATAAAAATATCGTGTATATAATGAAAATTGGAATATTTTAATAATTATATTTCTAATTTTATTCTACTTTCTTTATGCTTAAATTGACTAGTCGAGAAATTGAAAATTTTGCTACTCGGGATGATATAAATTAATAAATAATGAAATTAACTGGGTATATATAAATCTGCGATTCCTGTCTCCCGTGTTGGTTCGAAGTTAGATCAATCCATCATCAAAGCGTTACTCCGTGCTCCTCGAATTTAATTTACCAAGAATTTTCCTGCGGAGAGCATCCTGAGACGTTTTTCCAATTTTTTATCGTGAGTTTATGCGAGGATATTGCAAGTGTAATATTCATAGCATCTCTCTTTTGAGAATACAATTTTCTTCCTTCCAAAACTCTTCCTCCGCAAGGGATAGTAATTCCATTATCTCTAGGAATGTTTCAGTTAATAGTTTGAGTATTTAGAAATTCATGAACGTAGTTCAATGTTCGCAGTTTCGAAAATTACTTTACTCTCGCAACTTCTTCCACCAAACTGTCCTCCTAGGATTACACGGTACAAAGCGATACACAGTTTCTCTCGTAATTACCCGAGCGATAACACGAAATACTCTTTGCGATTCGTCTAAGATATTTCACGTATCGCTTCGATCTTTTAATAAACTTTTTATTTAAGAATATTACGAAAAATATCATTCTAAATTTGCTGGCTTGTACTGAGCAGGCCTAGGTAAGGCTCGCAAAGAGAAGTCGTCATCCTGATTGGAGGGTAGGAAGTTACAGCTGAGAGTAGTCCAGGTGATTTTTTGAAATAACCATGCTGTTTCAGAGATTCGTATTAAACAGTTAGTCTGTGTAACCAATTTTTCATGAGCAATCTGCGTGATCCTCTGATAGACTTGGCATGCATTAGCCAGAAGAATAGTGACAGACGGTTCGAGGTTTCTCATCAGTAAGGCTATTCTAACAGGCCCTGCCTTAGACACTGGGATACTATTGAAGGTTTTTCCGAGGAATTGCGAGAAAGTCCTCGAAGTCCGAATCCATTTAGCGGTGAGGGTGAGAATGATGGTTGCTACAGACTTTTTCACAAGTTCTTGGTAAACTCTCCGTTTCCTATGTACAGAATTTCCAAACTTTGCAATAGTATCCCTGTCAAAGGCACGGCCTTACTGATGAGTCCACTAGCAAGCCCAGGACATTCTCCTCCTTTTCCCGTTCGTCCCTTCCAGCCCTATCTGTAGTCAGTAATTGACAACCAGCACTGTCAACCGTAGACGTGGACCCCCGTATTTCCATTATCGTTTAAATTCTCTCAGTTACGTCAAAACATTGCCGAATGAACGAACAAAGGTGCACACCAAAGTCTCCTCGCTGCTGTGCAGCAACGGACACCGTTAAAATCTCACCAGCCATACAACAATCACCCACACATCGCGTGGGAACAAAATGCCAGCGGAATTTCCATCGTCGATGTCACGGCGAACAACGGAATCGCATATGTTTTAATGAAAAATATTCCGCGAATTTCGCAAGTGGCCTTGTCAGCCGGCACGAACGCGTGAAAAAGGGAAACAATTCAACAAGTTGACGTTCACGGAGGGCGACCGTGTTCCGCGCAGAATGAAATAAAATGGCTGAAAAGCGGAAGGGAAAAATCATTCGGTTCGAGCAGCAGAATTCACGACACCATTACGATCTGGATCGCGTTATCCATCTAGGTGACACGCGTTAGTGCGTCGTGTCATTTACGAGGTCCTCCATGACAGAGGACTGCAACTTCGCCCTGATAACGTTGAAAAAGAATTTGCTCGAAGAAGAGCACAATGTTGGGGAGCTTAAAAGAATATAAACAAACGATTTGGC